AGAGAAATGCGTAATATATTTGAAGAAGAAGCTTCAAAAATGGATTCCGAGTTACAGAAACAAATGCGTACTCTATCCAATATTCTACATAGGCGATAATTAAGTTTTTTTTTTTTAATATATTCATTACAACTATTAACAATAATGTTTTAAGAACTAAATAAAAAAGGAAAAAACACAATATATATTATCTAACCACACCCCTCTTTAAACCTTTAAAATATTATTTCAATTTCTATTTTTTATTTATTATATTTAGTGTGTTGTTTGTTGTACTTTCTACAATTCTGTTTATTAAATTCTTCTTAAAACCTTTTTGTAATGTTAATATAAAAAAGTTATTACAAATTAAGAATACACTATAGCCCTATCCCACACACTCTCTTCTTTCCCCCCCTCTTCCCATATTATAAACCGATATTTTTTTAAATAAAAAGTGAATAATAAAATATTGTCAAATAAGAGCAGAATTTTGTATAATCTCTAGCTCTCTCTCTTTATAAGTACATATAACTCCCTCTATCTCTATATGCTTACTTGCTACAAACATTTTTTAAAAACTAAAAATATCCATTTAAGTATAATAACTAACTACCAGCTTGTAACTTAATGTACAATTAATGTACCAACTATATTCAGGACATTAAATTACAAGTTGGCAACAAACATATACATAGATACTTATATCCATTCTAAAACACAAAAGAAAATAATGTATGTAAATAAATTTAATAAACAAAAACAAAACAAAATCATTTAAAAAAGTTAAAATATAAAAATGAATAAAAAAAATTATTGTAAAATTTAAAAAAAATGTGAGTTAATTTTATTTTTGCGTTTATGAGATGTTCCAATAGAGTTTGTTCTTGTTGATTACCAAAAAAAATTTTTTTTTAATCAATAGAAATTCCCAAAACCTACTGATCTCCTGATGCTTTACCTTTCATTCTAAATCAATAGTCACGCTACTTATGACAATTAAAATTCTATAAAAACAAAAAGTTTTTCTATCAGGATAGCACAAAAGTTCTCTACTAAAAATGCCTTGATTTCTCTTTAAATCTGCAGAAAAAGAAGTTCCTTTAAAATGAAAATTATGCATAACATAATTTCCAGATCATAATCTTTGAATATCCGTTCCATAATTTAATACTTGTCTACATTTAACAGTAACAGTATAAACTCCAAAAAAAATATTTATAAAATTGTATTTTTTTTTCTCTATTAAATGAAAGAATTCATAATAGAAATGGAGCCAATTAAATGCATTTGATGCAAAAAAAAAAAAATGCAGCAAAAGCCAACACAATAAACACCAATAACAATAATAAAACATGATATTGCGCTTGGCCTACTTTTTCCTACAACTAACAACAGCTTAAAAAAACAGCAAACAATTGGTGAAAGAAAACTGCAACACAAATACATACTCACATACCAAACCTCTAACTATTATTAATGCACTTGAAGAAAAGTTGGGGAATGATCATTACTTCTCGAAGAATTTATTAGAAAGACTACATATAGACTATAGTCTAGTCTATAGTCTAGTCTATAGTCTAGTCTAGTCTAGTCTAGTCTATAGTCTAGTCTATAGTCTAGTCTATAGTCTAGTCTATAGTCTAGTCTATAGTCTAGTCTATAGTCTAGTCTATAGTCTAGTCTATAGTCTAGTCTATAGTCTAGTCTATAGTCTAGTCTAGTCTATAGTCTATAGTCTATAGTCTAGTCTAGTCTATAGTCTAGTCTATAGTCTATAGTCTAGTCTATAGTCTAGTCTAGTCTATAGTCTAGTCTATAGTCTAGTCTATAGTCTAGTCTATAGTCTAGTCTAGTCTATCTAGTCTAGTCTAGTCTATAGTCTAGTCTATAGTCTAGTCTATAGTCTAGTCTATAGTCAGTCTATAGTCTAGTCTATAGTCTAGTCTATAGTCTAGTCTATAGTCTAGTCTATAGTCTAGTCTATAGTCTAGTCTATAGTCTAGTCTATAGTCTAGTCTATAGTCTAGTCTATAGTCTAGTCTATAGTCTAGTCTATAGTCTAGTCTATAGTCTAGTCTATAGTCTAGTCTATAGTCTAGTCTATAGTCTAGTCTATAGTCTAGTCTATAGTCTAGTCTATAGTCTAGTCTATAGTCTAGTCTATAGTCTAGTCTATAGTCTAGTCTATAGTCTAGTCTATAGTCTAGTCTATAGTCTAGTCTATAGTCTAGTCTAGTATAGTCTAGTCTATAGTCTAGTCTATAGTCTAGTCTATAGTCTAGTCTATAGTCTAGTCTATAGTCTAGTCTATAGTCTAGTCTATAGTCTAGTCTATAGTCTAGTCTATAGTCTAGTCTATAGTCTAGTCTATAGTCTAGTCTATAGTCTAGTCTATAGTCTAGTCTATAGTCTAGTCTATAGTCTAGTCTATAGTCTAGTCTATAGTCTAGTCTATAGTCTAGTCTATAGTCTAGTCTATAGTCTAGTCTATAGTCTAGTCTATAGTCTAGCTAGTCTAGTCTATAGTCTAGTCTATAGTCTAGTCTATAGTCTAGTCATCGTCTAGTCTATAGTCTAGTCTATAGTCTAGTCTATAGTCTAGTCTATAGTCTAGTTATAGTCTAGTCTATAGTCTAGTCTATAGTCTCGTCTATAGTCTAGTCTATAGTCTAGTCTATAGTCTAGTCTATAGTCTATAGTCTATAGTCTAGTCTATAGTCTAGTCTATAGTCTAGTCTATAGTCTAGTCTATAGTCTAGTCTATAGTCTAGTCTATAGTCTAGTCTTAGTCTAGTCTATAGTCCTAGTCTATAGTCTAGTCTATAGTCTCGTAGTGTCTATAGTCTAGTCTATAGTCTAGTCTATAGTCTAGTCTATAGTCTAGTCTATAGTCTAGTCTATAGTCTAGTCTATAGTCTAGTCTATAGTCTAGTCTATAGTCTAGTCTATAGTCTAGTCTATAGTCTAGTCTATAGTCTAGTCTATAGTAGTCTAGTCTATAGTCTAGTCTATAGTCTAGTCTATAGTCTAGTCTATAGTCTAGTCTATAGTCTAGTCTATAGTCTAGTCTATAGTCTAGTCTATAGTCTAGTCTATAGTCTAGTCTATAGTCTAGTCTATAGTCTAGTCTATAGTCTAGTCTATAGTCTAGTCTATAGTCTAGTCTATAGTCTAGTCTATAGTCTAGTCTATAGTCTAGTCTATAGTCTAGTCTATAGTCTAGTCTATAGTCTAGTCTATAGTCTAGTCTATAGTCTAGTCTATAGTCTAGTCTATAGTCTAGTCTATAGTCTAGTCTATAGTCTAGTCTATAGTCTAGTCTATAGTCTAGTCTATAGTCTAGTCTATAGTCTAGTCTATAGTCTAGTCTATAGTCTAGTCTATAGTCTAGTCTAGTCTAGTCTATAGTCTAGTCTATAGTCTAGTCTATAGTCTAGTCTATAGTCTAGTCTATAGTCTAGTCTATAGTCTAGTCTATAGTCTAGTCTATAGTCTAGTCTATAGTCTAGTCTATAGTCTAGTCTATAGTCTAGTCTATAGTCTAGTCTATAGTCTAGTCTATAGTCTAGTCTATAGTCTAGTCTATAGTCTAGTCTATAGTCTAGTCTATAGTCTAGTCTATAGTCTAGTCTATAGTCTAGTCTATAGTCTAGTCTATAGTCTAGTCTATAGTCTAGTCTATAGTCTAGTCTATAGTCTAGTCTATAGTCTAGTCTATAGTCTAGTCTATAGTCTAGTCTATAGTCTAGTCTATAGTCTAGTCTATAGTCTAGTCTATAGTCTAGTCTATAGTCTAGTCTATAGTCTAGTCTATAGTCTAGTCTATAGTCTAGTCTATAGTCTAGTCTATAGTCTAGTCTATAGTCTAGTCTATAGTCTAGTCTATAGTCTAGTCTATAGTCTAGTCTATAGTCTAGTCTATAGTCTAGTCTAGTCTATAGTCTAGTCTATAGTCTAGTCTATAGTCTAGTCTATAGTCTAGTCTATAGTCTAGTCTATAGTCTAGTCTAGTCTAGTCTAGTCTAGTCTAGTCTATAGTCTAGTCTATAGTCTAGTCTATAATCTAGTCTATAGTCTAGTCTAGTCTAGTCTACTCCTCTTAAGCAAGTAATTTGAATCCTATCTCATTGGAATTATTTGAAAATGATTAGAAAACCATTTTAAGTTCCACATAGTTCTTCAAACTATTCATACTTATTTTTGTTAAAGTGTACTATAGATCCATCTAGCAACATCCATGCATGCAACATACAAACAACTACCAACACAATACCTATGTAGACAAACAACAAATGAAAATGCAACCAATATCCAACAACATCACATCACCTTCATCCTCAGCTCGAAAAAACTATTACTACAATGATGATTATCAACTTTAACATTTTCTTCATTTAGTAAATAGCAGCAACAACAACAACAGAAATAGCAACTGCAACAAATAGCTAAATGCAATTAATGTTGTTGTATGTTGAGTGAAAGTAAAGTGGGCCAAATGCAACAATCATTATTACATTTCGCTGCGATGCAACAAACAAAACACACAGAAATATTGAAAACTGAAATGCAACAAGCAGCTCTAATGTTTAAAACATGAAAGTTTCTATTAATATCGCCATGATCATCGTCATCAAACAACTTCATTATCATCGTCATAATGAAACTAAACGACTAATACTACTTTGAAAATAATCTTAACAATTCAAATACTATGTGTGTGACATCCATTTTCATTTAGTTTTGCATGTTTGTATTTGTGTAAAAATGGTTACTGCAACTGTTGCAACAAGTAAAGCGAACTAACATACTAACTCTATCTAACTGGCTGAGGCTTTGTTGGATTGGCTTTGAAAATGTGCAACTTTTACACAATATTTATAATGTTTATTTGTTGTTGTTTTTTTTTTTGCGAAACCAAATAAATGGCAGAAGAGAAAATTATTGCATTTTTTCTTTTTTTTTTCTGCAATTTTTTTTGTTTGTTTTGCAAACAACAATCAACTAAACAAACCAGCCCTAGTCAACCAGCCAACCGACTAACCTACAATGGAAGCTTTTGAATTGAAAAGTAACAAAATATTTATTCATACTTGTGTTGGATTATTTGTGCATCTAATGCTATGGAAAACTTTCTTTTTTTTCGTATAAGCAATTATGTATGTGTTTAGAGGTTTATACAACATATACCATGTCTAGTAA